AACATGATGACAACATTATATAACCCCTGGCGGAGGTTCGAGTCATTACTGAGACACCGGACTGAGGGTTGCTGTGACGAACACACTAGCGCTCACCAGCCTTGACCACCTTACACACTGAGGCTTCACTACATGACACCAGGAGACCACACGGAGAGGAGAGCAGGACAGGAGCAAGGAAAGCACAGGGAGAGGAGAGGAGGACAGGAGGAAGGAGACCACAGGGAGAGGAGAGCAGGACAGGAGCAAGGAAAGCACAGGGAGAGGAGAGGAGGACAGGAGGAAGGAAAGCACAGGGAAAGGAGCAGAGGACAGGAGGAGGAGAGAGGAAGGGAGAGGAGCAGTGGGAGAGAACACGCCCGACAGTAACCCCAGATACCGAGACAGGAGATGAAAGGGGAGATGGACAGGGGACTCGAGGGGACAGGAATGGAGCGGGTGCTTCGCTTCAGTGGGTTCAGGGGCTCCTCATAGGGGGAGGACAGTTCCCACACGTGGGGGGGAGGTGAAACCCGAGGTGGGTCAAGGGGAAGACGGGTTGTCAAGGGGAAGGGGGGGGGGGGTTGGGGAAGGGGGTTGTCCCCCACTCCCCACCACCAGTACCCATCTAGACAAAGCGTCTCTCCTCGCTTCACACAGTTCCCGCGCCACAGGCAGAGTGCATTTCTTTACAAGTATTGAATTCCAGTGCACTCGACCCGGGGCCGAGTGCACGAGCACATTGTCAATCTCTCTCTCTCAACATCTGCAGCGCTCGTGTTGATATCGGTTATGTTGTCACGGATTTGGTTATCGTGCATAAAGATGATATCCGGATCTTCCACTGTCACGCTGTTTTTTTGGGGTGTGATAAACCTGTCCTCATACTGATTTGTTAAGATTTCACGATATTCTTTGTCGTCTTGTGTATTTTGTCCTGTTCTGTGACTTCCTCAACTGTTGCTTCTGGGAGTTTGTATATGACCATAATAAGTAGGTTTATTTTCTTAATTGTTACTGCCAGTACTTGTAGCAGCACATTTGTAGAGATAAGGAGTTAACAAGGTCCTCTCTCATCTCCACACCTGCTCCTGCATGTCACCTATTTACCTCATCACAGCTATACACAGGTTACCTTGAGGTGCTTCCGGGGCTTAGCGTCCCCGCGGCCCGGTCGTCGACCGGGCCGCGGTCTTCCTCGTCCTGCTCCTCCAGATGTGTATAGCTGGCGCCTGACAGCTGAGTGGCCAGCGCTTCCGATTCCTAGTCCAGAGGTTCCGGGTTCGAACCCCGGTGGAGGCGGAGACAAAAGGGCAAGATGTTTTTTTCGCCCTGATGCCCCTGTTACCTAGCAGTAAATAGGTACCTGGGGTTAGACAGCTGCTACAGACTGCTTCACGGGGGTGGAGGCCTGGTCGAAGACCGGGCCGCGGGGACGCTAAGCCCCGAAATCATCTCAAAATAACCTCAAGATAAGAAGCCCAACCATTTGGGCGTAGACGGTCTCGCTTCACGCAGGTCGGTGTTCAATCCCCGACCGTCCACAAGTGGTTGGGCACCATTCCTTCCCACCGTCCCACCCCAAATCCTTATCCCGACCCTTCCCAGTGCTATAGTCGTAACTCGGATCTTCCCCCCCCCCAGATCTTGCCTTCCTAAGAGTGGCATAAACAAGTGAGCATCTACAGAATAACTCTATATACATCTTGCACTCAAATGTGTAGATGGTCAAGCAGGGAACCTTATACTGAACGGTTCCTATCTCATCAATAATATATAATTCTTCTTAACAGCTTAATATATGATGATAAAGTTCTCCTTTGTGAAGCCATGCATCTATTTTATATTATATTATATGTATATATGTGTGTATATATATATATATATATATATATATACTATATATATATATATATAGACACTATATATATATACACACACACACACTAGGGGGGTGAGACAGCCCTGAAGACACTAGAGGGGGGGGGGGGTGAGACAGCCCTGGAGACACTAGACGGGGGGGGGTGAGACAGCCCTGGAGACACTAGAGGGGGGGGGGGGGGTGAGACAGCCCTGGAGACACTAGAGGGGGGGGGGGGTGAGACAGCCCTGGAGACACTAGAGGGGGGGGGGTGAGACAGCCCTGGAGACACTAGAGGGGGGGGTGAGACAGCCCTGGAGACACTAGAGGGGGGGGGTGAGACAGCCCTGGAGACACTAGAGGGGGGGGGTGAGACAGCCCTGGAGACACTAGAGGGGGGGGGGTGAGACAGCCCTGGAGACACTAGAGGGGGGGTGAGACAGCCCTGGAGACACTAGGGGGGGTGAGACAGCCCTGGAGACACTAGGGGGGGTGGAGGGGGGGGGGTGAGACAGCCCTGGAGACACTAGGGGGGGTGAGACAGCCCTGGAGACACTAGAGGGGGGGGTGAGACAGCCCTGGAGACACTAGGGGGGGTGAGACAGCCCTGGAGACACTAGAGGGGGGGGGGGTGAGACAGCCCTGGAGACACTAGGGGGGGGGGGGTGAGACAGCCCTGGAGACACTAGGGGGGGGGGTGAGACAGCCCTGGAGACACTAGAGGGGGGGGGTGAGACAGCCCTGGAGACACTAGGGGGGGGGGGGTGAGACAGCCCTGGAGACACTAGAGGGGGGGGTGAGACAGCCCTGGAGACACTAGGGGGGGGGGGGGTGAGACAGCCCTGGAGACACTAGAGGGGGGGGGTGAGACAGCCCTGGAGACACTAGGGGGGGGGGTGAGACAGCCCTGGAGACACTAGAGGGGGGGGGGTGAGACAGCCCTGGAGACACTAGGGGGGGGGGTGAGACAGCCCTGGAGACACTAGAGGGGGGGGGTGAGACAGCCCTGGAGACACAGGGGGGGGAGAGCAGCCCTGGAGACACTAGGGGGGGGTGAGACAGCCCTGGAGACACTAGGGGGGGGGGGTGAGACAGCCCTGGAGACACTAGAGGGGGGGGGGTGAGACAGCCCTGGAGACACTAGAGGGGGGGGGTGAGACAGCCCTGGAGACACTAGAGGGGGGGGGTGAGACAGCCCTGGAGACACTAGAGGGGGGGGGTGAGACAGCCCTGGAGACACTAGAGGGGGGGGGGTGAGACAGCCCTGGAGACACAGCCCTGGAGACACTAGGGGGGGGGTGAGACAGCCCTGGAGACACTAGGGGGGGGGAGACAGCCCTGGAGACACTAGAGGGGGGGGTGAGACAGCCCTGGAGACAGAGGGGGGGGGTGAGACAGCCCTGGAGACACTAGGGGGGGGGTGAGACAGCCCTGGAGACACTAGGGGGGGGGTGAGACAGCCCTGGAGACACTAGGGGGGGTGAGACAGCCCTGGAGACACTAGGGGGGGGGTGAGACAGCCCTGGAGACACTAGGGGGGGGGGTGAGACAGCCCTGGAGACACTAGGGGGGGTGAGACAGCCCTGGAGACACTACTAGGGGGGGGTGAGACAGCCCTGGAGACACTAGAGGGGGGGGGTGAGACAGCCCTGGAGAGGGGGGGGTGAGACAGCCCTGGAGACACTAGGGGGGGGGTGAGACAGCCCTGGAGACACTAGGGGGGGGGTGAGACAGCCCTGGAGACACTAGAGGGGGGGGGTGAGACAGCCCTGGAGACACTAGGGGGGGGTGAGACAGCCCTGGAGACACTAGGGGGGGGGTGAGACAGCCCTGGAGACACTAGGGGGGGGTGAGACAGCCCTGGAGACACTAGGGGGGGGGGTGAGACAGCCCTGGAGACACTAGGGGGGGGGGTGAGACAGCCCTGGAGACACTAGGGGGGGGGTGAGACAGCCCTGGAGACACTAGGGGGGGTGAGACAGCCCTGGAGACACTAGGGGGGGGTGAGACAGCCCTGGAGACCTGGAGACACTAGGGGGGGGTGAGACAGCCCTGGAGACACTGAGAGGGGGGGGTGAGACAGCCCTGGAGACACTAGAGGGGGGGGGTGAGACAGCCCTGGAGACACTAGGGGGGGGGTGAGACAGCCCTGGAGACACTGGAGACACTAGGGGGGGGGGTGAGACAGCCCTGGAGACACTAGGGGGGGGGGTGAGACAGCCCTGGAGACACTAGGGGGGGGGGTGAGACAGCCCTGGAGACACTAGGGGGGGGGGTGAGACAGCCCTGGAGACACTAGGGGGGGGGGTGAGACAGCCCTGGAGACACTAGAGGGGGGGGGTGAGACAGCCCTGGAGACACTAGGGGGGGGGGGTGAGACAGCCCTGGAGACACTAGGGGGGGGTGAGACAGCCCTGGAGACACTAGGGGGGGGGGGTGAGACAGCCCTGGAGACACTAGGGGAGGGGGGGGTGAGACAGCCCTGGAGACACTAGGGGGGGGTGAGACAGCCCTGGAGACACTAGGGGGGGGGGGTGAGACAGCCCTGGAGACACTAGGGGGGGGGTGAGACAGTCCTGGAGACACTAGGGGGGGGGTGAGACAGCCCTGGAGACACTAGGGGGGGGGTGAGACAGCCCTGGAGACACTAGGGGGGGGGTGAGACAGCCCTGGAGACACTAGGGGGGTGAGACAGCCCTGGAGACACTAGGGGGGGTGAGACAACCCTGGAGACACTAGGGGGGGGTGAGACAGCCCTGGAGACACTAGGGGGGGGGGTGAGACAGTCCTGGAGACACTAGGGGGGGGGTGAGACAGCCCTGGAGACACTAGGGGGGGGGTGAGACAGCCCTGGAGACACTAGGGGGGGGTGAGACAGCCCTGGAGACACTAGGGGGGGGTGAGACAGCCCTGGAGACACTAGGGGGGGGGGTGAGACAGCCCTGGAGACACTAGGGGGGGTGAGACAGCCCTGGAGACACTAGGGGGGGTGAGACACCCCTGGAGACACTAGGGGGGTGAGACACCCCTGGAGACACTAGGGGGGGGTGAGACAGCCCTAGAGACAACCACCCGCCCTAGCGTCACCAACCCTATGGAAAGTAGGGGGGGGGACACGGAAAGGGACCACCAGAGAGAGCAGAAAACAAGAGGTACTCACCGCGCGTTCGTCGAGTAGCGCCGCGGCGCGCTCTTCGGCGCGCTCTCTCTTGTCGTCGGCGCGGCCGAGGTCGGGCTTGCCGAGCATGGAGAGCGGGTGGGCGGGGAGACCCATCAGGGAGGCGGAGGACACGGCGGAGAGGAGACCGTGCGGGGCTCCGGAGGACGGAGGCATGCCCGCCAGGGACGGGTGGGGCGCCATGGGCAGCGTGGGGGCATGGGCGCCGTGGGGTATGCCCGCCTGAGCGTGCATCTGTTGCTGTGCACAAACACAAACTCAGTCTCAATACATCTGTTGTGAGTCTCTACACCTGTCTCTACACCTGTATAACACCTGTTGTGAGCCTCTACACCTGTTGTCAGCCTCTACACCTGTATAACACCTGTTGTGAGCCTCTACACCTGTCTCTACACCTGTATAACACCTGTTGTGAGCCTCTACACCTGTCTCTACACCTGTATAACACCTGTTGTGAGCCTCTACACCTGTATAACACCTGTTGTGAGCCTCTACACCTGTATAACACTTGTTGTGAGCCTCTACACCTGTATAACACCTGTTGTGAGCCTCTACACCTGTATAACATCTGTTGTGAGCCTCTACACCTGCTTAACACCTGTTGTGAGCCTCTACACCTGTATAACACCTGTTGTGAGCCTCTACACCTGTATAACACCTGTTGTGAGCCTCTACACCTGTATAACACCTGTTGTGAGCCTCTACACCTGCTCAACACCTGTTGTGAGTCTCTACACATGCTCAACACCTGTTGTGAGCCTCTACACCTGTATAACACCTGTTGTAAGCCTCTACACCTGTATAACACCTGTTGTGAGCCTCTACACCTGTATAACACCTGTTGTGAGTCTCTACACATGCTCAACACCTGTTGTGAGCCTCTACACCTGTATAACACCTGTTGTAAGCCTCTACACCTGTATAACACCTGTTGTGAGCCTCTACACATGCTCAACACCTGTTGTGAGCCTCTGCACCTGTATAACACCTGTTGTGAGCCTCTACACCTGTATAACACCTGTTGTGAGCCTCTACACCTGTATAACACCTGTCATGAGCCTCTACACCTGTCATGAGCCTCTACACCTGTATAACACCTGTTGTGAGCCTCTACACCTGCTCAACACCTGTTGTGAGCCTCTACACCTGTATAACACCTGTCATGAGCCTCTACACATGTCATGAGCCTCTACACCTGTATAACACCTGTTGTGAGCCTCTACACCTGTATAACACCTGTTGTGAGCCTCTACACCTGTATAACACCTGTTGTGAGCCTCTACACCTGTATAACACCTGTCATGAGCCTCTACACCTGCTCAACACCTGTTGTGAGCCTCTACACCTGCATAACACCTGTTGTGAGCCTCTACACCTGCTCAACACCTGTTTGTCAGCCTCTACACCTGCATAACACCTGTTGTGAGCCTCTACACCTGCTCAACACCTGTTGTGAGCCTCTACACCTGCATAACACCTGTTGTGAGCCTCTACACCTGCTCAACACCTGTTGTGAGCCTCTACACCTGCATAACACCTGTTGTGAGCCTCTACACCTGCTCAACACCTGTTGTCAGCCTCTACACCTGCATAACACCTGTTGTCAGCCTCTACACCTGCATAACACCTGTTGTGAGCCTCTACACCTGCTCAACACCTGTTGTCAGCCTCTACACCTGCATAACACCTGTTGTGAGCCTCTACACCTGCTCAACACCTGTTATGAATCTATGAAAAAAAAATTAACAAAATCCCAGGCGGGTTTCAAAACAAAAATTAACATACTTTTATTTAATTTAATATACTTCTTTAATTTTACTTTTATTGTATTTGAAATAAGTATTTTTTACCCGTAATTAAATAAAATCCAGGTTTTATGAAAATATTTTTTGAACATCTCAGTTTGAATTACAATTATTTCAATTTATTTGTTTCTTACGGGAGGAGGGGGTGTTGGGGAGGGGATGGGGGGGGGGATTGGGGATGGGATGGGGGGGGGGGGGATGGGATGGGGAGGGGGGGTGTGGGGATGGGTTGGGGATGGGATGGGGGGGGGGTGGGGGGTGTTGGGATGGGATGGGGGGGGGTGTTGGGGATAGGGGGGGTTGAGGATGGGATGGGGGTGTTGGGGATGGGATGGGGGTGTTGGGGATATGGGATGGAGGTGTTGGGGATGGGATGGGGTGTGTTGGGGATGGGATGGGGGTGTTGGGGATGGGATGGGGGTGTTTGGGATGGGATGGGATGGGGGGGGATGGGATGGGGGTGTTGGGGAAGGGATGGGGGGGTGTTGGGGATGGGATGGGGGGGGGTGTTGGGGATGGGATGGGGGTGTTGGGGATGGGATGGGGGGGGTGTTTGGGGATGGGATGGGGGTGTTGGGGATGGGATGGGGGTGTTGGGGAAGGGATGGGGGTGTTGGGGATGGGATGGGGGTGTTGGGGATGGGATGGGGGTGTTGGGGAAGGGATGGGGGTGTTGGGTGGGGAGGAAGGACTCACCCCGATAATAGCGTTCAGCTCCGTCATGGTGACCTGCTTCGCTCTCTCCACCGCCGTGGCCACCTGCTGCTGGTGCTGTAGGGGGGAGACAGGTACAGTCAACACCCCGCACACACCTCTCAAACCCACATACGCGCGTGCACACCAGTCACTCCAGCCCGTCCTCCAAACAAAGACCCAAAAGTGATTCCATGCACCCGCCAAACCCCCTGTTTATGAATGAAAAGCGGTTTACACACGACTCACAACTGCTGACGTTCGAACATATCCGGAACAAGTGTTTCACTGACGAATTTTGTTCGAATCACAACGCTATAAATGCTTCACCCACGTACTACAAATACAAATAATCGCCAACAGAACCTAAACACCTAACCTAACCTATGCCTATATATGCACAATATGCCAATATATTATAATATTAATTTATACTTGAGAAAATTCCCGTTTTGAATGAACAGCATGTTAAAATTTATGAATGCGTCTGTGGGGTCGACCGCTGGATGTAATGGACTTGAGTCGAGGACGGGTTGGTCACTCACCCACCACACACGGTAACTCACCACTCACTTACCACACACACAGTAACTCACCAGTCACTCACCCACCACACACGGTAACTCACCACCCACAGTAACTCACTAGTCACTCACCCACCACACACGGTAACTCACCACTCACCACACACAGTCACTCACCCACCACACACGGTAACTCACCACTCACTTACCACACACACAGTAACTCACCAGTCACTCACCACACACAGTAACTCACCAGTCACTCACCCACCACACACGGTAACTCACCACTCACCACACACAGTAACTCACCAGTCACTCACTCACCACACACGGTAACTCACCACACACAGTCACTCACCCACCACACACGGTAACTCACCACTCACCACACACAGTAACTCACCAGTCACTCACCCACCACACACAGTAACTCACCAGTCACTCACCCACCACACACAGTAACTCACCAGTCACTCACCCACCACACACAGTAACTCACCACTCACCCACCACACACAGTAACTCACCACTCACTCACCACACACGGTAACTCACCAGTCACTCACCACACACAGTAACTCACCAGTCACTCACGACACACAGTAACTCACCAGTCACTCACCACACACGGTAACTCACCAGTCACTTACCACACACAGTAACTCACCACTGACCCACCACACACAGTAACTCACCAGTCAGTGACCCACCACACACGGTAACTCACCAGTCACTCACCACACACGGTAACTCACCTCCTGAGACAAGAAGGGAAGGACCTGAGCAATGATTGCGTTGAGCCGCTTGGCAATCTCCGTCTGTCAGAAGAACAAAAAATAATACTTGGTTAGTGTTTACAAACAAGGGAACACGTGGCTTTCTTGGTTAGTGTTTACAAACAAGGGAACACGTGGCTTTCTTGGTTAGTGTTTACAAACAAGGGAACACGTGGCTTTCTTGGTTAGTGTTTACAAACAAGGGAACACGTGGCTTTCTTGGTTAGTGTTTACAAACAAGGGAACACGTGGCTTTCTTGGTTAGTGTTTACAAACAAGGGAACACGTGGCTTTCTTGGTTAGTGTTTACAAACAAGGGAACACGTGGCTTTCTTGGTTAGTGTTTACAAACAAGGGAACACGTGGCTTTCTTGGTTAGTGTTTACAAACAAGGGAACACGTGGCTTTCTTGGTTAGTGTTTACAAACAAGGGAACACGTGGCTTTCTTGGTTAGTGTTTACAAACAAGGGAACACGTGGCTTTCTTGGCTAGTGTTTACAAACAAGGGAACACGTGACTTTCTTGGTTAGTGTTTACAAACAAGGGAACACGTGGCTTTCTTGGTTAGTGTTTACAAACAAGGGAACACGTGGCTTTCTTGGTTAGTGTTTACAAACAAGGGAACACGTGGCTTTCTTGGTTAGTGTTTACAAACAAGGGAACACGTGGCTTTCTTGGTTAGTGTTTACAAACAAGGGAACACGTGGCTTTCTTGGTTAGTGTTTACAAACAAGGGAACACGTGGCTTTCATTCACAGAAAAATATACACGCATTGTAAATCCTGAACTGCACGTGGAGTGAGGCGGTGGAGATCTTGGCCACCTCCACCACCACCCAGCGAGGTGATGTATGTGATGTATTCTCCCAGCGTGGAGAATACATCACATACGCTCATGTCACTCACATAACATCACAACCTGGACAATCAGCGTCGCTACTGGCCAACACTACTAGGGGGCCAGATTCACGAAGCAGTTACGCAAGCACTTACGAACCTGTACATCTTTTTTCAATCTTTGGCGACTTTGTTTACAATTATTAAACAGTTAATGAGCTCCGAAGCACCAGGAGGCTGTTTATAACAATAACAACAGTTGATTGTCAAGTTTTCATGCTTGTAAACTGTTTAATAAATGTAACCAAAGCCGTTAAAGATTGAGGAAAGATGTACACGTTCGTAAGTACTTGCGTAACTGCTTCGTGAATCTGGCCCCAGGACAGCAATTGAATTCTTAAACAAAAGTAGAACTAAACAAAAGTTCCAGATAATTCACACTGCAAAAAGAAACCCGGACCCCATTACCCTTGAGGTTATCTTGAGATGATTTCGGGGCTTTAGTGTCACCGCGGCCCGGTCCTCGACCAGGCCTCCACCCCCAGGAAGCAACCCATGACAGCTGACTAACACCCAGGTACCTATTTACTGCTAGGTAACAGGGGGGCATAGGGTGAAAGAAACTCTGCCCATTGTTTCTCGCCGGCGCCTGGGATCGAACCCGGGACCACAGGATCACAAGACCAGCGTACTGTCCGCTCGGCTTCCGGCTCTTGCCAACCTGGGATCCAACATGCGGGGGTCGGCAGAATACTGGCACTCAAGGGCAATAGAACAGATCAAAATTTACATCACTGGCAGATTAAGCAAAGAAAAACCATCTTTGAAAACCTGGGGAGATTCTGAAGCCTCAGTATAGACGTATAGCTTCACTTATATACGCTCTTGGTGGCCTGCTATCATAACATGGTGTCAGCAAGGCGGACAGCCCGCCTGCTATCATAACATGGTGTCAGCAAGGCGGACAGCCCGCCTGCTATCATAACATGGTGTCAGCAAGGCGGACAGCCCGCCTGCTATCATAACATGGTGTCAGCAAGGCGGACAGCCCGCCTGCTATCATAACATGGTGTCAGCAAGGTGGACAGCCCGCCTGCTATCATAACATGGTGTCAGCAAGGCGGACAGCCCGCCTGCTATCATAACATGGTGTCAGCAAGGTGGACAGCCCGCCTGCTATCATAACATGGTGTCAGCAAGGTGGACAGCCCGCCTGCTATCATAACATCGTGTCAGCAAGGTGGACAGCCCGCCTGCTATCATAACATGGTGTCAGCAAGGTGGACAGCCCGCCTGCTATCATAACATGGTGTCAGCAAGGTGGACAGCCCGCCTGCTATCATAACATGGTGTCAGCAAGGTGGACAGCCCGCCTGCTATCATAACATGGTGTCAGCAAGGTGGACAGTCCGCCTGCTATCATAACATCGTGTAAGCAAGGTGGACAGCCCGCCTGCTATCATAACATGGTGTCAGCAAGGTGGACAGCCCGCCTGCTATCATAACATTGTGTCAGCAAGGTGGACAGCCCGCCTGCTATCATAACATGGTGTCAGCAAGGTGGACAGCCCGCCTGCTATCATAACATGGTGTCAGCAAGGTGGACAGTCCGCCTGCTATCATAACATCGTGTAAGCAAGGTGGACAGTCCGCCTGCTATCATAACATCGTGTCAGCAAGGTGGACAGTCCGCCTGCTATCATAACATCGTGTAAGCAAGGTGGACAGTCCGCCTGCTATCATAACATCGTGTAAGCAAGGTGGACAGTCCGCCTGCTATCATAACATCGTGTCAGCAAGGTGGACAGCCCGCCTGCTATCATAACATCGTGTCAGCAAGGTGGACAGCCCGCCTGCTATCATAACATCGTGTCAGCAAGGTGGACAGCCCGCCTGCTATCATAACATCGTGTCAGCAAGGTGGACAGTCCGCCTGCTATCATAACATCGTGTAAGCAAGGTGGACAGTCCGCCTGCTATCATAACATCGTGTCAGCAAGGTGGACAGCCCGCCTGCTATCATAACATCGTGTCAGCAAGGTGGACAGCCCGCCTGCTATCATAACATCGTGTCAGCAAGGTGGACAGTCCGCCTGCTATCATAACATCGTGTAAGCAAGGTGGACAGCCCGCCTGCTATCATAACATCGTGTAAGCAAGGTGGACAGTCCGCCTGCTATCATAACATCGTGTCAGCGAGGCGGACAGCCCGCCTGCTATCATAACATCGTGTCAGCAAGGTGGACAGTCCGCCTGCTATCATAACTCATACTATATATCCCATTTCCAAATATCCCTTCACCAGTGTCCGTCCATCATATTTACTCCCCCCCCCCCCAACCCCTCTAAAAAATGGGGGAAGAGGTAGGGGACGAGAAGAGTTGTGGGGGGATAGAGTGAGGGAGCCGGAGAGGGGGGGGGGGGGGGTTGAGGGGGAATAGAAGGGCAGCAGAAGGGAGAATGAGGTGAGGGGGGGGGGCAAGCTCCCCCCCCCCTCCTCCCTAACCTAACACTAAGGTAATAATGTAGGTAAGGTCCAGGGGGGGGGGGTGGGGGGGGGGGAGGGGGGTAAGACTCACGCCATCCACCAATTAATAATGCTATCATCGAGGCATAATTGCCGGGAGTATAATTGGCTGTTATCATGAGGCCATCATGTCCGCACGCGCGCCCACACACACACAGGGGAGACATGATCACCACATATAAAATTCTCAGGGGAATTAACAGGGTGGACAAGGATGGCTTATTTAACACAAGGGGCACACGAACAAGGGGACACAGGTGGAGACCGAGTACCCAAATGAGCCACAGAGACGTTACAAATTACTTTTTCAGTGTCAGAGTAGTTAACAGGTGGAATGCATTAGGCAGTGATGTGGTGGAGGCTGACTCCATACACAGTTTCAAATGTAGATATGATAGAGCCCAGTAGGCTCAGGAACCTGTACACCTGTTGATTGACAGTTGACAGGCGGGACCAAAGAGCCAGAGCTCAACCCCCGCAAGCACAATTAGGCGACTACAATTAGGTGAGTACACACACAGGAGCCGGCGGCCAAGCGGACAGCACGTTGTACACGTGATCCTGTGGTCCCGGGTTCGATCCCGGGCGCCGGCGAGAAACGATGGGCAGAGTTTCTTCCACCCTATGCCCCTGTTACCTAGCAGTAAATAGGTACCTGGGTGTTAGTCAGCTGTCACGGGCTGCTTCCTGGGTGTGGGTGTGTGTATACTCACCAATTTGTGCTTGCGGGGGTTGAGCTCTGGCTCTTTGGTCCCGCCTCTCAACTGTCAATCAACAGGTGTACAGATTCCTGAGCCTACTGGGCTCTATCATATCTACACTTGAAACTGTGTATGGAGTCAGCCTCCACCACATCACTGCCTAATGCATTCCACCTGTTAACTACTCTGACACTGAAAAAGTTCTTTCTAACGTCTCTGTGGCTCATTTGGGTACTCGGTCTCCACCTGTGTCCCCTTGTTCGTGTGCCCCTTGTGTTAAATAAGCCATCCTTGTCCACCCTGTCAATTCCCTTCAGAATTTTGAATGTGGTGATCATGTCCCCCCTAACTCTTGTCTTCCAGTGAAGTGAGGTTTAATTCCCGTAGTCTCTCCTCGTAGCTCATACCTCTCAGCTCGGGTACTAGTCTGGTGGCAAACCTTTGAACCTTTTCCAGTTTAGTCTTATCCTTGACTAGATATGGACTCCATGCTGGGGCTGCATACTCCAGGATTGGTCTGACATGTGTGATATACAAAGTTCTGAATGATTCTTCACACAAGTTTCTGAATGCCGTTCGTATGTTGGCCAGCCTGGCATATGCCGCTGATGTTATCCTCTTACCGCCAACTTGCTTATGAAGTTATGAAGAACTCTCCAGACACCCAAGAGAACGCCTTGAAGGACACCATCGTCTATGCCTTCACGTGCCCACTTGGGGACCGTCAGCCCCAAAGATCTCAGTATATAGGCAAGACCACAAGCCACAAGGCTCCATCAAGGAGCATGTCATCTCCTCACACAACCAGACCATCACCAGAGACATCTTAACAAGCAACACAGAAATAATCGACAGGTATAACGACAACAGGAGACTCGACATCAGCGAGGCACTACACATCAACAAGTCAAGACCAGCAATCAACAACCAGTTAACACAATTATATTCTAGCCACTTCAAGACCCCGAGCCAACACAGAGACAGGAGCAGCAACAACATAAGCTGCTTATGTTGATGCTTGTAATACCATATTAATATCCACTGTTATGCCATTCATCCACTTGTTTACCTCATCCTAAGATAATACAATCCTTTGTAAATGCTTCGTAAGTTAGTCTTTGAAAATGTAAGTAATAATAGTAGTAGTAGGCTTCCATCAGTCTCAGCCACATATGCAAAATGCGTCAGACCATAATAAGTGGCGTCAGACCATAATAAAGTGGCGTCAGACCACAATAAAGTGAGAAAATAAACTTTGGATAGTTAATTTTTCAACTTCCCTCGACAGTGAAGAAAAAAAAAACAAGAAATATTGAGAAGATTCGTTTTAGACTCAATCATTAAAATTACCCTCTAGGCCATATTCAACAACACATGTTTACAAGCAAGACTCCTCCCCAAAATATATTACATAATTATATATATTATATATATATATATATATATATATATATATATATATAGATATATATATATATATATATATATGTCGTACCTAGTAGCCAGAACTCACTTCTCAGCCTACTATGCAAGGCCCGATTTGCCTAATAAGCCAGTTTTCCTGAATTAATATATTTTCTCTATTTTTTTTTCTTATGAAGTGATAAAGCTACCCATTTCATTATGTATGAGGTCAATTTTTTTTTATTGGAGTTAAAATTAACGTAGATATATGACCGAACCTAACCAACCCTACCTAACCTAACCTATCTTTATAGGTTAGGTTAGGTTAGGTAGCAGAAAAATTTGGTTAGGTAGGTTAGGTAGTCGATAAACAATTAATTCATGAAAACTTGGCTTATTAGGCAAATCGGGCCTTGCATAGTAGGCTGAGAAGTGCGTTCTGGCTACTAGGTACGACATATTATATATATATATATATATATATATATATATATATATATATATATATATATATATA